ACATTGAGATCACACCCGCGACGGAGACCCCCGCATGAACATCCGCGCCGCGCTCCTCACAGCGCTCGCCATCGCCGCGCCCGCGTTCGCTCAGGGCGGCCCGCCCGCCGCGAAAGTCCGCGTCGACAACGCCCGCATGGAAACCCTCGACCGCCAGCGCAACGTCACCGGCGAGCTCGTCGCCGCGCGCCGCTCCAGCGTCGCCACCCGCGCCAGCGGCCTCGTCGTCGAGATGAACGTCAACGTCGGCGACACCATCAACCAGGGCGACGTCATCGCCACCCTCGACGACGTGCTCGCGAAGATCGAGGTCCAGCGCCGCGAGGCCGAGGTCGCCTCCGCGGACGCCCTCATCCGCGAGCGCCAGACCATGGTCGCCCAGGAGCAGCGCGACCTCGACCGCCTCACCGAGCTCCACAAACGCAACGGCGCCTCCCGCAGCGAGATCGACGACGCCCAGACCGATCTCGACGCCGCCAACGCCCAGCTCGCCCGCGCCGAGGCCGACCTCGCCATCGCCCAGGCCGAGCTCGCCCGCGCCGAGCAGGACCTCGCCGACCACACCATCCGCGCCCCGTTCACCGGCGCCGTCGTGCGCCGCGAGATCGAGCTGGGCCAGTGGATCGACGAGGGACAGACCGCCCTCGAGCTCATCGAGCTCGACCGCGTCGACGTCTACATCGACGTCCCCGAGGCCTTCATCGGCCCCGTCTCCGCCATGAACCGACCCATCGAGCTCGCCTTCGCCGGCGGCGCCATCACACGCTCCGCCCCCTACACCGCCATCATCGACGACGCCGACCCCGAGGCCCGCACCTTCCCCATCCGCATCCGCCTCGAGAACGAAAACCACGAGCTCCGACCCGGCATGTCCGTCACCGGGCTCGTCCCCACCGGCGAGCTCACCGAGCAGCTCACCATCCACAAGGACGCCATCCTCCGCGACGACGCCGGCGCCTTCGTCTACTTCGTCGCCGACGGACAGGCCCTCCCCGCGCGCGTCACCCCCCTCTACGCCGTCGGCACGCGCACCGCCGTCCAGTCCGCGCAGCTCGCGCCCGGCATGCAGCTCATCATCGAGGGCAACGAGCGCCTCTACCCCACCCAGCCCGTCGAGGTCGTCGGGGGCGAGATCTCTCACTCCGCCGCGACCGCGATCGCGCAACCACGAGGCGATTGACGAATGGACATCATCCGCGCCGCCATCTCCAGGCCCATCACCGTCGCGGTGGGCGTCATCCTCACCGTCATGTTCGGGCTCATCGGCTTCTCCGCCATGCCCGTGCAGCTCTCGCCCACGGTCGACCAGCCACTCATCACCGTCACCACCACGTGGCCCGGACGCTCCCCCGAGGAGATCGTCGACGAGATCGCCAAGGAGCAGGAAGAGCGCCTCAAGGTCATCGCCGGCCTCGACAAGATGACCTCCACGTCCCAGCAGGGCCAGTGCGAGATCATCCTCGAGTTCCTCATCAACACCAACATCGACCGCGCCCTCCAGGAAGTCTCCGACGCCCTCCGCCAGGTCCCCGAGTACCCCGAGGACGTCGACGAGCCCGTCGTCAGCGCCACCGGCGGCGCCGCCGACAACGCCATCACCTGGATCATCCTCGAGCTCGATCCCGCCCAGGCGCCCAACTACCCCGGCTTCGACGTCGCCACACTCTTCGACGCCGTCGACCGCGAGATCAAGCCCTACATCGAACGCGTCGAGGGCGTCGCCGAGGTCAACGTCTTCGGCGGACGCGACCGAGAGGTCCGCGTCTACGTCGACCCCGTCCGACTCGCCCAGCGCGCCCTCAACCACGGAGACGTCGAGAACGCGCTCCGCCGCGAGAACCAGAACGTCTCCGCCGGCACCATCGCCGAGGGCAAACGAGACTACCGCGTCCGCGTCATGGGCCAGTTCACGAACGCCGAGTCCATCCTCGACACCATCATCGCCTACCGCGCCGGCGGCCCCGTCTACGTCCGCGACGTCGCCGACGTCGAGATCGGCTACGAGAAACGACGCGGCTTCGTCCGCTCCCTCGCCGGGCGCGCCATCGCCATCAACGCCGAGAAACGCGCCGGATCCAACGTCATGGCCGTGATGGAGGACATCCGAACCCGCCTCGACGAGATCCGCGCCGACATCCTCCCCAACCTCCACCCCGAGGTCGGCCAGCACCTCCGCCTCCGACAGGTCTACGACGAGACCACCTACATCACCAGCGCCATCCAGCTCGTCACCCAGAACCTCTGGATCGGCGGCTCCATCGCCGCGCTCGTCCTGCTCATCTTCCTCCGCTCACTCGTCTCCACCGGCATCGTCGCCCTCGCCATCCCCATCTCCGTCATCGGCACCTTCCTCCTCCTGCTCGTGATGGGCCGGACACTCAACGTCATCTCACTCGCCGGCCTCGCCTTCGCCGTCGGCATGGTCGTCGACAACGCCATCGTCGTCCTCGAAAACATCTACCGACACCGCGGCATGGGCAAGCCCGCTATCCGCGCCGCCTACGACGGCGGCAAGGAAGTCTGGGGCGCTGTCCTCGCCTCCACGCTCACCACCGTCGCCGTCTTCATCCCCGTCCTCACCATGACCGACGAGGCCGGCCAGCTCTTCCGCGACATCTCCCTCGCCATCGTCGCCTCCGTCACCTTCTCCCTCTTCGTCTCCATCACCGTCATCCCCGCCGCCGCGTCGCGATGGATGGGCGACCTCGAGCACGCGGACGAGGGCGGCTTCATGAAGGCCGTCCACAACCTCTTCGGCCTCGTCCCCCTCTTCGCAGCGTTCAACAAGCTCGCCGTTGGCGTCCTCCACTGGCTCATGACCGGCTGGCGCGGCTGGACCGTCCGCCCCGTCGTCATCGCCGTCATGACCGCCGCCTCCCTCTACGGCGCCTGGGCCCTCATGCCCCCCATCGACTACCTCCCCTCCGGCAACCGCAACCTCGTCTTCGGCGGCCTCATCGTCCCCCCCGGCTACTCCGTCGACCACCTCGAGTCCATCGCCGAGCGCATCGACACACAGTTCCGCCCCTACGTCGAGGCCTCGCTCGCCGACGACCGCGACGCCGCCGTCGACCAGCTCCCGCCCCTCTACACGCGGTCCGGAGAGCAATACCCGCCCGTCGCCATCGACAACTTCTTCGTCGGCGCGACCAGCGACAACGAGCAGGTCGTCAAGCCCATCGAGACGCTCGCCACAAACTCCATGAACGCCATACCGGACTCCTTCGGCTTCGCCGCGCAGTCATCACTCTTCGGTCGCGGCGTCCAGACCGGCGGCAACAACATCAACGTCGAGATCTCCGGCCCCTCCCTCGAACGCGTCACCGCCGCCGCCGGCGCGCTGTTCAATTCCCTCGGCACGTCCCCCGACTACGGCTACCGCACCCTCCGCCCATCGCCCGGCAACTTCCTCATCAAGCAGCCCGAGCTCCAGGTCGAGCTCACCAAACGGGGCACCGAGCTCGGCCTGCGCACGCAGGAGGTTGGCACCACCGTCCGCGCGCTCTTCGACGGTGCCTTCGTCGGCGAGTTCCGCGAGGGCTCGGAGAACATCGACATCCGCCTCCTCCCCAGGGGCGGCCGCCTCCAATACAAAGAGCAGATGGTCGACATCCCGATCTACACGCCGGGGGGCGAGATCGTCCCCATCGACTCCGTCGTCGAATTCGTCCCGACCCTCGCCCCGCAGGAGATCGTCCGCATCGAGGAGCTCCCGAGCATCACCATCGCCGTCCAGCCCCAGGAAGGCGTCCCCCTCGAGCAGACCATCACGGACATCCAGAGCAACTACGTCCAGCCCCTCTACACGCAGGGCCTCATCGACTCCACCATGCGCGTCCGCATGGAGGGCACCGCCGCGCGACTCGACCAGGTCCGCGCCGACCTCGTCGGACGCAAGCCCGCGGAGAGCGACTTCCCCGCCTGGACGCCCCTCATCAAATGGACCGGCCTCGGCGCGCTGGGCCTCGCCATCATCGGGGCCGTCGTCGCCGGCGTCCGAGGCATGCAGAAGCGTCCCGCGCTCGCGATCTACGGCGCCGTCGGCCTCCTCCTCGCCGGCATCATCGTGAGCTTCGTCTTCACCGGCCTCGCCGCGAACCCGCAGTTCATCGCCGCCCGCTTCATCTGGGCGCTCGCCGTGACGTACCTGCTCATGTGCGCGCTCTTCGAGAGCTTCGTCTACCCCGCGGTCATCATGCTCACCGTCCCGCTCGCCATCATCGGCGGCTTCGCCGGCCTGCGCATCGTCCACAACTACACCGAAGCCAGCCCCATCCTCGCCACGCAGAACCTCGACGTCCTCACCATGCTCGGCTTCGTCATCCTCATCGGTGTCGTCGTCAACAACGCCATCCTCATCGTCCATCAGTCACTCAACCTCATCCGACAGGACGAGCTCGACGGCACAAAGCCCGACCCGATGAAGCGTATCGCCGAGGCCGTCACCACCCGCGTCCGCCCCGTCTTCATGTCCACCATGACGTCGGTGGGGGGCATGCTCCCCCTCGTCCTCTTCCCCGGCTCCGGCTCAGAGCTCTACCGCGGCCTCGGCTCCGTCGTCGTCGGCGGCCTCCTCGTCGCCACCTTCTTCACCCTCGTCCTCGTCCCCCTCATGTTCTCCCTCACCTACCAGCTCCGCAGCGCCGTCTTCGAGATCTTCACCAACGGCAAAGCGGTCAAGCACACCGCCGCCGAGGAACAGCTCGCCGCGGTCTTCGCAGAAGCAACCCCGAAGCCCAAGCCCCAACCCGTCCTCGAAACGACGGGCGCCTGAGTACAACAAACAGCAGCCGCGAGCGGGAGCGAGCGGACCAAAGGTCACCCACTTCCCAGCACCGTTCCGCACCCTGAACAGCACCTTCTCCCCTTTCCGGGGGCGCGGGAGAAGGTGGCCGACGAAGTCGGCCGGATGAGGGGTCAACAAAGCCCGCCGCGAAGCGGCGATCTTTCCTAGTGCCTAGTGCCTAGTGCCTAGTGCCCAGTGCCCAGTGCCCAGCGCCTCAGTTCAACTCCAAACAAACCCACCCAGTCCCGATCCGCTCATCCGCCCGACGCAGCGCGTGGATCTTCACCTCGCACTCCAGCAGGTGACGCACGTCCTTCGGACGCGCCGTGAGCAGGTGCAGGCCGATGTCCCCGCCGATGTCGAGTCGCGAGTCGATCGCGGCCAGGAGCCGCGCGTGCTTGCCCGCCCACGCCCGGACGGACGCGAGCCGCTCCATCCCCCGACACCCCTCGTCCGCGACGAGCAGGTGCATCGCACCGTTCTCGTCGCGAGCGAGCGTCACGCCCTCGTCGTCCGGGCACGACGCGTCGATGAGCGTCAGCCCGAGCGCCGTGATCGCCACGCCGCGCGCATCATCAACCGGGCGCGGCGACGGCGTCTCCTGCTGACGATCGACACGGGTCTTGCCCGCGTCGACCGCCGTGTGCTGTTTCGCATCGCGAGCCGGCGTCCGCGGCTCGATCTCCCCGATGAACACCGGCGCCTCGCGTGCCGGTTCGACGTTCGTGACCGGCTCTTCGATCTCGGCGACGGTCTCGGTAGGGGTCTCGCGGACCTCCGCGAGCCGCGCCGCGACCTCCTCGAACGTCGCCTCGCATTCCCCCAGGAACACCATCGCCCCGCCCGTCGGCCCCATCCGATCGATGATCCCGCGTTCGACGATCTCGAGATCCAGGAACGCCCGGCTCGCCTGCGCGAGCTTCGCCACCGCCGCCCGCGCCCGCGTCTCGGACTCGCCCATCACCGCCACGCCGAGCTCGCCCACCGAGCCCGCGAGCCGCTTCGCCGTCCGGTACACGCTCACCACCGCCGCGTCGTTCGCCGCCGTGAGGACGGTCACGCGCTCCGACGAATCGCTCGTCGCGAGCGCCGCGTCGTCCGCGTCCGAGACCTGCAGGATCACGTGCGACGCCGCGCGGGCGACGCGATCGATCGCGCCCTCCGCCGTCGCCTCCGCCTGGCACTCGCGGAAGTCCGAGTCCAGACCGTACAGGTCGATCCCCATCTGCCCCGACCCCATCCGGATCAGCGCGACAGGACCGCCCTCGCGCTCGGCGCACAGCCGCGCGTACTGCGCCACCCACGGGTTCGCCCGCACCGGCAGGTGCCCGAGCAGGAGCACCTCCCGAACGAGCGGGCGGGCCTCGCGGCCCTCGTCGTCCGTCGCGTCCTCGGTCAGACGCAACGCCGGCGCCTCGCGCTCCGGCTCGCCCAGGAACAGGTCCGCCAGCGCATCAAAGTCCGCGCCGCGACCCGACGAATCCGAATGCTGTGCGCCCATCGCGTGTCACTCCCGCCCTGGAGAAGGCCTGCTGTCCGCGCCGCCGACCACGACGATGCTGTCTCGACCGCCGTACGGGTTCGCCTGCGCGTTGGGGTTGTACGGGTCCGCCATCCACTCCCCGTTCGCGACGAGCCGGTACCGCATCGGCCCCGGCGCCGCCACCACGAACGCCTCGTGACGCTCGCGCTCCTCGTTGTATTTCAGCTTTGTCGCGCTCGGCACCCACCCGTTGTGATCGCCCGCGACGCAGAACTCCATCTCCGGCCCGCCGGGCTGCGCGAACAGCACGCCGCCGCCCACCGGGATCGCGCCGAACCGCGCGTTCCCCGAACCGGGCTCGCTCCCCGGGGCGCCGCCGATGACAACCTGCGGCGACGACGGCCCGTCAAGCTCGCGCATCACACGCGCGACGTCCGGGTCACGCTCGATCTTCTTGCTGATCTCCGCGCTCCGCGACGCGAGCTGCCTCGCCTTGGCCGCCAGCTCCGCGGCACGCGAGAGCGACTCGCCCCCGCCCCGCGCCGGCGGCCGGTCGTCCGTGAGCGGCGGGGCGTCCATCGAGACGACGCCGTCGAGCAGGTCCCCGGTCTGCGACCACCCCGTGAGCTCCACCGCCTCGAGGCCCTCGTCCGCCCCGCCCTCGTCGTACGCGTCGAAGATCCCGGCCCCGCCCGCACCGGCGGACGCCGGGCCGCGGTCGCGATCCCGCCCCGAGTCGCCGAACAGGGCCTCGCCCGCCCCCATCCGCGTCTCCGTCGCGCCCACGGGCACCGCGCTCGGCGCGTGCTCCATGAGGTACGACGCCAGCGCCGCGTAGTCCTTCGCCGCCGAGCACGACGGCGCAAACTCTGTCACCGGCGTCCCCATGCTCGTCGCCTCGCGCACCTTCTCGTCCACGCGGATCACGATCGGCGTGAGCGACTCGCTGAACTGCTTCCGGATCCCCTCCAGAACGTCGTCCGCCACCTTCGAGGCGCGGTCGTACATCGTCGGGAGCAGGCGGTAGGGGACCCCCCGGCCCGACCGCCGGAACAGCGCCTCCATCGTCGCCACCTGCTTGCCCGCCCCCTGCAGCGCGAAGTACCCCGTCTCCACCGGGATTAGCACCTCGTCCGCCGCGCGCAGCGCGTTGAACGTCAGCAACCCGATGTACGGCGGGCAGTCGAGCACGCACCAGTCGTAAGAGTCGCGGACGTCGTTGAGCACGCGCAGCAGACGCGAGTCGCGGTCCTCCCGCGCCGCCAGCCCCCCACGCGCCGATTCCAGCCCCGCCAGCTTCGTCGTGCTCGGCGCCACGTGCAGGCTCGAACGCGTCCGCCAGATGAAACGCTCCGTCGGCAGCGGACGCGCGTCCGGCCACATCATCACGTCGCCGATCTGCAGGTCGATCTGGCTCTCCGGGATCGCCAGGCCCGACGCGCAGTGCGACTGCGGGTCCAGGTCCACCAGCAGCGTCCGCTGGCCACGCATCGACAGGGCGGACGACAGGCTGATCGCCGTCGTGGTCTTGCCACTCCCGCCCTTCTGATTGACGATCGCGATCGTCTTCACGCGTCGCTCCCACGGAACACCCGTTCGTCGCACGCGTCGCCCGCAGACATGGGGGGCGGTCCGGGGGAGATGTCCACCGAACATGCACACCGCGCCGACTCTCGCGTTATCGGGCAATGGTCGCCGGGAACTTGATTTCCGTGGTACCCGCGTCCGGCCGCACCACAAGCCGGTGTGGTCTAGACGCCCGACGAATTTGACCCTTCGCGGATCGCCGACCACCCCGTCGAGAGCACCGACGCGTCGTCCACACCAACCAGCTCGACCCCGCCGCCCTCGACCGGCAGCACGAGCCGCACCCGCCCGCCACGCGCCTTTTTGTCCGACCCCATCCGCGCGATTAGCTCGGTGTCATCGGGCAATCCGGCCAGCTTGGGCGCAAGCCCGAGCCCCTCAATAGTGTGCCGGACGCGCCCCGTCGAGCCCCCCGGCATCCGCCCGGTCGACTCGCTCACCGCCATCGCGCAGATCAGCCCGTACATCACCGCCTCCCCGTGCATGAGCGGCGCGTCGCTCGCCGAATTCGTCGGAGAAAGTTTTTCCAGCGTCTCGATCGCGTGGGCGAACGTGTGACCCAGGTTCAGCGCCGCCCGACCCGGCCCGCTGGCCGAGAGCTCCCGCTCGTCCGCCACCACGACCGACGCCTTCGCCGCCACATTCTTCGCCACGAGCTCCACCATCACCGACGCGTCCAGCGAAAGGATCGCGTCAAGGTTCGGCACCGTCCAGCCCCAGAGCCCCATCGGCTCCCCGAGCAGGATCCCGTGCTTGAGGCACTCCCCGAGCCCCGCCCGGAGCACCCGCGCGTCCAGGCTCGCGAGCGTCGACGTGTCCGCGAGCACGCCCTCCGGCTGCCAGAACGACCCCACCATGTTCTTCCGCAGCGCCCCGTCGACCTCCAGGTTCACCCCCGTCTTCCCGCCAACGCTCGCGTCCACCATCGACAGCAGCGTCGTCGGGCACTGGATCACGGGCGCCCCACGCCGGTACGTCGCGCCGACGAATCCCGCCACGTCGCCCACGATCCCGCCCCCCAGCGCCACCACAGGGTCCCACCGCGAGAGCCCCGCCCGCTCGACCTCAACGAGCAGCCGCTCCACCGTCGCCATGCACTTCTGGTCCTCGCTCGCGAACGCCGAAGCCGCCTCGACGCCGAGCCCCTCGTCCTCGAGCGACGTCACCGCCAGCTCGACCGTCTCCGCGGGCAGGTTCGAGTCGTACACCACGAACGCCCGCGTCGCGTCGCCGCCGCACCGCGTCCGCGCCAGAGCGCCGAGCCCGCCGAGCGCCCCCGGCCCGATCACCACGTCGTACGCCGAGCCGGGAAGGTCGATGCTCACGGTGCGCAGCAATTCAGACTTCGTCACAGGCTCACTTCCCGGCGTAGTCAATAACCCGCGCGATCTCGTTCCGCAGCTCGTGCCGGTGCACGACCCGATCCACGAGCCCGGCGTCGAGCAGGAACTCCGCCCGCTGGAACCCCTCGGGCAGCTCCTGCCGGATCGTCTGCTTGATCACCCGAGGCCCCGCGAACCCGATCAGCGCCTTCGGCTCCGCGAAGATCACGTCCCCCAGCATCGCGAAGCTCGCGCTCACGCCGCCCGTCGTCGGGTCCGTCAGCACGCTGATGAACACGCCCCCGGCGTCGTCGAACCGCGCCAGCGCCGCGCTCGTCTTCGCCATCTGCATCAGCGAGTACCCGCTCTCCTGCATCCGAGCCCCGCCCGAGCACGAGACGATGATCAGCGGCAGGTCGTGCTCCGTCGCGTGCTCGATCGCCCGCGTGATCTTCTCGCCCACCACGCTCGAGAGCGTCCCCATGAAGAACGTCAGGTCCAGGCACGCCAGCATCACCGGGCGGCCCTTGATGAACGCCCGCCCCGTCTGCACGCCCTCCACCTCGCCCGTCTTCGCCTGCTCCTTCGCGAGACGCTCCTTGTACGGCTTCAGGTCCGTGAATTCGAGCGGGTCGCTCGTGCGCAGGTTCGTGAACATCGGCTCGAACGTCTTGTCGTCCACGAGCTGGCGCACACGCTCGGCCGCGCCGATCCGGAAGTGGAACTCGCACTCCGGGCACACCGAGAGGTTCGCCTCCATCTGCTTGCGATAGATGAGCGACCCGCACTCCGGGCAGCGGAGCCACAGCCCCTCCGGGATCCGGGTCGGGCGGGGCATCGCGATCGGGCTGCTCGTGTTCGTCTGGGTCATGCGCTCCCCACCACGTTACACGCCCGCCCGGTTGGATTCGAGCAGCTCCTTCAGCCGCTTCGGCGTCACCGTCACCCGCTCGCTCGTCGGGCCGTCCTGCGCCATCTCCCACAAACCCGCCGTCCCCTTCTCCGTGAGCAGGCTCGCCAGCAGGCTGTACGCGATCGGACGCAGCACGACCGCCACCGGCTTTTCGCCCGCCTTCTCCGTCACCTTGATCAGCGCCGTGAGCAGACGGTCCGCGAGCCCCGCGATCGTCTCACCCTCCGGCGGCGTCACCATCGTCGGGTCCTCACGCCACTGCTTCACCGCCCGCGGGTACCGCTCGAGCAGATCGCTCTCGAGCAGCCCGTCCCACAGGCCGACGTCCATGCCCCCGAACCCCTTGACCGACTTCAGCTTCGCCCCCACGCGCTCCGCGACCAGCTCGGCGCTCTCCTTGCTCGCCTCGTCCGGCCCGTGGTGGATCACCGTAAACCCCGGCTCCTCCGGCCCGAGGGCCGAGGGGATCCCCGCGATGAACGAGCTCCTCCCGTTCTCACTCAGAGGAAGGTCCGACCGCCCCTGCAGACGCCCCTCGTCGTCCCACGCCGTCCGCCCCGATCGGATGAGCAGCACCCGCTGGCCTGTCGTGTCTTTCGTCATCAACATCTCTCAGATGGTGAACGCCGCGCCCGGTCTCGAACGCAAACGATAGCACTGCATCGGCATCCCAACCACGAAAAAATACGAACAATACCCTTACCCGGTGCGCAATCGCTCAACAACCCCCGCCCGCTCGCCCCGCGGACGTCCGAAAATCGCCGAGGCCGCGACCAGCACGTCGCACCCGGCGTCCCGCACCAGGGCAGCGTTCTCCGGCGAGATCCCCCCGTCCATCTGCAGGCGCTGGTCGTCCCGCAACGCCGCCCGCACCGCCTCCGTCTTCGCGAGCACCTCCGCGATGAACGATTGCCCGCTGAATCCCGGGTTCACGCTCATCACGAGCACCATGTCGAACGCCTCGACGTGCGGCAGGATCGTCGAGACGTCGGTGGGGGGGTTGATCGCGATCCCCGCGAGCATCCCGCTCGAGCGCACCCGCTCCGCCACCTCCCGCACGTCGTACCCCTCGCTGAGCGGCGCCATCCCCGCGCCGGCGCGCACGTCCAGCGCCGGCTCGATGTGGAACGTCAGGCAATCCGCCCCCGCCTGCGCAAACGGCTCGATGTACTGCCCCGGGTCCGTCACCATCACGTGCACGTCCAGGCACGCGTCGGGCATCCGCTTGCGGAGCGATTGCACGAGCGCCGGCCCCATCGTCAGGTTCGGCACGAAGTGCCCGTCCATCACGTCCACGTGCAACAGGTCCGCGCCCGCCTCGCCCAGCATGAACTCGCACTCGTCCCCCAAGTCCGCGAAATCCGCGGAGAGGATCGACGGCGCAATGAGGGGCAGACGCGACGGGTTCTTCAGGCAGTCTCGGCTCATGCGCCAAGCGTACCCGCGTTCGCCCGCGCGGTCTCGACCAGCGTCCGGAACAGCGCCAAGCCGTTTTCTTCACGGGGGGTCCGCTCCGGGTGCCATTGCACCCCCAGGTAGAACGCCCGCGACGGATCGTCGATCGCCTCGATCACCCCGTCGTGCGCACGAGCCACGACACGCATCGATCCCGCGTCCGAGACCGCCTGCCGGTGCCAGCTCGTCACCTCGCCGTCGACCACAATGGAATCGTCGATCTCAACCCGGATCGCGTGCGCCGCGTCATCCATGTGGTCCGCGTGCGTCGCCGTCGTCTCCGGCAGGTGCTGATCGAGCGTCCCCCCCGCGGCCAGCGCCATCATCTGCATCCCCAGGCACACCCCGAGCACCGGCTTCTCTGGCGCCTCCGCCGCCAGCTCGCGCAGCAGCGCCTCATCGAACGCCTGCCGGCGTGAAGACTCCCGATCCGCCGACGGGTGCGTCGCCACCCCGTACCCCTCCATCACCGGATCCCGCCCCCCGGTCAGCACGAATCCGTCGCACAACCCGACATACCCGCGCACGACCTCCCCGAACGCCTCCCCCGAGCATGGTGGCAGCAGCAAAGGCGCCCCGCCAGACGCGAGCACCGCGTCCACGTACGCCACCCGCGCCTTCACATCCTTCCCATCCTCCCCGCACGCGATGCCGATCAAGGGTCGTTCCATGCTTCCATTCTTCGTCCGAATGCCGGCCCCTACTCCCCTCGCGGGAGAAGGTGGCTGCGAGCGAAGCGACGCAGCCGGATGAGGGGGAGCAAACCCAACCGCGGCGAAGCCGCGATCCTTCGAGCAGAGGAAGGTATTTGAGGTGGGCCATCAACTCACATCACTGCAAGAAAAGCTCGCCTCCACCTCTTCCCCATTGCCCATTGGCCACTGCCCAACCCCCCCGGGCGACGCCCCGCGTCGCCCACCCCACCTTGACAAAAACCCCCCAACTTGGCATCTTTGTCAGATGGGTACACACACCATCACATCCCAACCGATGACCAGCCGAATCGTCCAGGAAGCCATCACTTTCGACGACGTCCTGCTCATCCCGCGCCGTTCCGCCGTCGTCCCGGGCGACGTCGACCTCACCTCACGCCTCACCCGTGAGATCGAGCTCCACGTCCCCCTCGTCTCGGCCCCCATGGACACCGTCACCGAGTCCCGCCTCGCCATCGCCCTGGCGCAGGAGGGCGGCATCGGCATCATCCACAAGAACATG